TACCACTTGCTCATTATATGTATACCACTTCTAGTTGAAGAGGTTTAATAGTGGACGGTCACTTTCAACTTCGAAACGTCAGACAAGTCCTGCGATGCTTTAAGACCGGAAACGTACTCTATCCAAAACTGTTCAAAGCTGTACCGAAACACAAAAAGGCAGACCTTCCGAACAACCCTTTCAGCACGTTCACCTCCTCGAAAACAACAATGTCGGCAACAAACCGTCAGAAACGTGGGAAATCAGCAGATGCCAACAAACAACAACTGTAACTTGACAAACACGCTCAAACGCACAGTCCCTCATGTTTTGGCATGTTTGTGTTCAATCTGGTTTGTTGCAAGCTTTTGATCTCTCATGGCGTCAGACCAACATGTTTACGCACAAACGCTGACATGTTTTGGCATGATTATGTTCAACCAACCAATTCTGAATCAACAGTGGATGTCGGGTGGAATGAGATGAATTGAGAGGTAGTCGGCATTGGTCTCACAAAACACTCTGCTTCAGACAGTGGAAATCGGACAGATCTTGTACTATGAAAATCCGATGTGTATGTTTCTGTGTATGAGTGTGTCTAGACTTGTAGTGATCCCCACAAAATGGATTTCAATTGCTATGGTGGGGATCACTCGAAGTAATGTAACTTCGGGTGGGGATCCGGGTGGATCACTGATCATGCCAAGGGACCAAGGGAATAGATGCCGGTGGTTCCAGGTGTGACCAAAGCATCCCATGGGATGTTGCACCACGGCGCATGCACCGTCGTTGTTTGACCATCTTCTGGGCTAACGCCCGGGAAGAGACCCACATGGAACCCGAACATTGGTGGGTGCCGTTTTCCAAAGGTCCCCAATTTCAGGTTTCATGTGGGATTCCCATTGTGTCGTTGGAGTTCTTTCGCTTCGGATCCCTCCGGCCGGTCTTGGTCTTACCAGGGCCCCCGGTGCCATGGGGTGGTGAATGGAGATCCCAAAAAACCTCTAACAACCTATCATTAACCACCCCAAACCGGGGGCCCTGGGGGTGGTTGCCAGGGGGGTCTGTCTGGGGCGGCAGTCCGGACTGGCAGTCCCATGACACGGCAGTCCTCGTGTCTGTGGGGTTTCAGCCATCCAGTGACACTCCGCGGGTGCCGGGTGAATCTTCGGCCTAAGGTGGGCAACGCGGCCGAGCACGCCGCCGCGGTGGTGTCCGGGACACGGTGCATCACGGGCGGTTCACGAAGCGGTGGTGGTCGGTTCACGAAGCGATGGAGAGGGTCCACTGCCATGTTTTCCGATCAGTTGTGGTGGTTTGATTTTGAGGGGATCTTTTTGGGGCGGCATATGTCTTCCACTCCGGATTTGTCGTGTTTGAGAAGGTCCATTGCCACCCTCTCAGGATCCATGGTGATTGGACACACAATTACCTAGGCATGGAGAGTCCAGTTGTACTGAACCGGAGAAGGTGGCAGTGGATCCCTAGCGGGGATCATATAAAGCAGACGACACAATCAGGGCGAAATATGGCAGTCGATCATAAGATATGTATAGATAAGGAAGTTCCACAAAAGTTAGTTTTTTCATTGGGTGAGTTTTTTGGTGAAAGGAGGGGGGAACTGGTTTCCTGGGTATGTCAGCCGCAGCAATTTCGGAGAAGGCAGGCAGCTTAAAATGAAGCGACCTGCAAAGAAGCCCGCGGCATGTGGACGGCCAGCAAAGAGACCGGCTGCAAGGCAAGGAAGAATGCGGGAGTGAGGGGGGTAGGTCTTGAAGACATTGGATGAAGAGTCGGGTGAGAGTACCTGTGGGAGAGGAGGACAAACATTGTCACTTCCATTGTTTAAGAACCAACAACCAGCAAAGCATGCTTGTTTTTATTCCTGCTGCCATTTCCGTTGCAAGTTGCAGTTGGCAATGCCCCGACTTTTGCCGGTTGGGAAGCTAGTAAGCAAGCGATGCTTGTGTAGCAAAGGTGATTGTTTTCTCCAATTTGCAGATGACTGGGAAGCAGTGGGCAACGAGAGAGCTAGATTTCAATCATTAGATGTGCGGCGGAAAGATTCTCGAATTTATTCACCTGGAACTTGTGTTTTTCTTCCCCTCCTTCCTAAACCAACTGTTCAGTGAGAAATGGCGAGGTCATGCGAGCCAATACATTTTGAACGACACATATTGAATGTTTCTCAATTGTGTTTGAAAGCCGATCGTCATCAGCTGAAGGAAGCCCAGCTTCGACAGTGGTATCATCTTACAGGCGACCTTCTGGACCCGGAATCTGGTGCAACATATGATGAGCATGAAGTGCTCATGCAAACTGATTCGGAACAGGAGCAGGAGTGTCTCCTCCAGACTGAGAGTGAGTCGGAGATAGAGTCTAGTGGTCAGGATGAGGGCGGCATTTTGCTGGCAAGCAGTTCAGAGAACGAAGGAGTTGTCAAAGAGCCAAACGCCAAGAGGCGCAAGTATACTGCAAGGTCAAAATGCCAATTGACCTTCCTTGGAAAAGCTGTCTGCAAGTATTCACATGCTCGGTTGTTTGGGATCGGCGCAAAAGTTCTGCAGAATCTTCGGGAAGGTCGGGCGGGCTACACGATGACTGGAGAGGAAAGGCTCCGAGAACCCAAACATCCCACACTTGGAGTCTCGCTTGTTCGATCAAGCGACGGCCAGAAGTGGAAGAACATCCTTGCCTTCATGTGGCTCTTGTACAGCAGCTGCGCAGAGATTCTCCCCACCAAGCTGGTCATGCCGAAGGACCAATTTGAGAGCTTTACCAAGTCTGATCCAGACTTTGAAGAGAGGTATGTGCAAACATTTATGCAGACATTGGAGAAGAACTTTGATCTTAATCCGGCCCCTCGCTAATTTTCTATATTTTCTAGTTGAATGACTTTTTGTTACTTCACTGTCCCCCTGGCATAGACTAGGATCAAACCTGACATTGCTTATTATTTATGGTCCCTATACCTAATAACAAGTGTCTTTGGGATAGCCAAGCCATCAATCAAGGTAGATTTGGCAGGTCCGGGATCATTTAGTGGCCCGCGGCGGTACATTGAGTGGTGCAGGCCAATTGACCTGTTTTATCAGTATCAAGTGTTTGCAGAATCACGTGATGAGCAAGCTTCTTCGTTTTCCACCTTCCGGAGAGTCACGAAGCCAATCTTCAAAACTCACATCAGGTGCAGGGACCGGGGAGAACACGGGCAATGTGACATCTGTCACCGGTTGAGACTGAAAATAAAGAAAGCAGGGTCGAGAGATGAACGCAGGGGTTTTGTCCACACGTACACGAGGCACCTACTTTCACAGTGGCTGGACCGTGCAGCATACTGGCAACTCCGTGCCCAGTCCAGACAATACTTTGCTGAATCTTTGCGCTTTGCAGGGCTGCTTCAAAGATCCAAGTTGGCTAGCAGCGTGTTATGCATAATCCAAGACGGCATGGACCAGGCTAAGCTGCGCCTGCCACGGCGCGGCTACAGGCAGTCATCCAAGGCATGGTCAAAAATCTTTCGACCTGCTTGCCACCTCGTTGGAACGTTCATCCACGGCTTTCGGTTGAATCTGAATTTGTCTGACGAAGATCAGAAAAAAAACTCAGAGACTTCCATTGAGCTTGTCGCCAGGGCGTTGAGTGAAGTTGTGGAGATGTTTGGCAGCTTGCCGTACCACATCCACTTGCAACAGGACAACTGTTACAGAGAAGGTAAAAACACTTACATGTTGAACTTTATCCTGCTTCTGAAGGTGCTGGGTGTGTGTGGCTATGCCTCGCTCGGCTTTTGCCGAGTGGGGCATAGCCACGAAGATATAGACCAGTGTTTTGGTCAGATTTCCAGACTGCTGATGGGCAAGTCCATGGACACTCCAGAGGAAGTGCTCGCAATCCTTGCAGAAGCTACAGGTTCTGGGAACCCAACTGATACCACAGGCCGCCGCATTCGCGGTTCTCAGGCCGCGGTTTCCAAATTGGACGAAGTGTGCTGTTGGAAAAAATTTGTGCAGCAAACGGGTGTGCGCTTCAAAGGTATCAGGCGTGTTCACCATTTTCGGTTTGCTTCGAGGAAAGACTTGGGACCTGTTTTGGACCACATTCGTGAGCTGGAGGACTTTGGCCGCTCCTTGGTTCCCCATGAAGATGACATATTTTTGCTTACCAAGCGCTACATGGGCGACACCGAAGTCCAACGGGCAATAGCAATTATGCCAGCTGCCAGGGCAGCTGAAATCCGAGCAGGTTTTCAACCACCTTCTGGTGTGGCTGCCCGCCGAGCGATTGGCGAGCAACTCAAGAGAAACATTCGCAAGTATGTGCCTCCCGTGCGCAAAAGTGGAGAACTGTCACAAGCTGGAGCAGATTATTTGTTGCAATGGAGCAGTGGCCAGTTGAAACCAATCCGGAGACCACTGCATTATCCTGTTTTTGATTACCGCCATTCTGCAGAGTTGCGTGCTGCCCGTCATGTGCCGGGTCAATGGCAACCTCCACATCGTTCTGTGTCATTGCCGCTCAGATCAAAGAGTTCGTGGTGGAGTTCTTATACCAGGACAAGTTCGCAAACGTTCGGGAAAGGCTTCGGGAGACAGTGCTGAGCGCAGGCACTCTGAAGGTTGGGAGCATGTTCAGTGGCTGGGGAGTGCTGGAAATGGTGCTGGCTGAGCTGACGACCCGGTGGACTGCCTGCCATTCTTCTGCCGCGTTCGAGGCTAGAGGGTAAGTAGTGCATCTGTATTTAATACAGTTCGAGTCAGCATAGCATACCAAAAAGCTGGAGCCAGCCCTAGGGAAGGCATTTTCTTTATGAACGGGAATTCCATGAGCTCTGAACAAAAAATGTGAAATTACAAACATGCAGTTTGAGTAGCGGGTGGATTCTTGTTGCGACAGGCAGAAGTGATCTTCATGGCGGAGAAGAACAAGCGAAAGGCTGAGTACCTCAAGTCCAGGTTCCCCAAAGTTAAGGCTATCTTTGACGATTGCTCGCAACTCTGCAAGCCGCATGCTTGTACTGTTGATGGTGGCAGTTCGCGAGTTCCGGAGGCACAAGATTGTCGAGTTGTTGATTCTGACTTGCGCGCGGATTTTTGTAGTTACAGCAAGTCTTTATAATTTCAATGCCAGGTACATACTTGCCGACTAATTTTGCTTAACAATTGTTGGTCACAGTCGATTGGTATTAGTATTAGAAACTAGCTAGTCCTAGTTAGTGTAACATTATTTCATGCAATGTGCAGGTGGACATCCTGGTGGCCGGATTCCCGTGTGTGAGCATTTCGTTGCTCACCACTACACCGGGCAGCATCGTGGACCAAACATGTCAGTCCGGTCGAGGATACATTGCAGTGGAGAATTACATCAAGAAGTATTCGCCACCGGTCGCTGTTTTAGAGAATGTGGGCAGCGTTTTCAACTGTCGCCAGGTCGAGGGAGGTGTGTCCGCGTTACTTGAAGACAACATTACAGCAAACCTTTTTGTCTTGAATGATGGGATGATGCATTTCTTCTGGGAAACATTCTGAATGAAATGGACGCAGCTCCTTTTGCTCCTAGGTTTTCCATCATCAAAAAGCGGTTGGCCAAGCTTGGATATGTAGTGCATGGCGATGAGTATAATGCTGCAGATTACGGGCTACCCCAACAGCGTCGTCGTGCTTGGATCATCGTTATCAAACAGACTCAGCTTCGCACCAATGAAGCACAACTTGCTGACGACATGGATTTGTTTCGGTGCGCATGTCCCCCGCTCTCCACGTGTGTCTTTTCTCATCAATCAGATGCAGCAGCGGGTGGCAAAAGGGGACACCTACTTGCCCGACCGAACTCCAAAGGTGAACAGGCTAAGTGGCGAGATGGCTTCGAACAGAAATGCCAGAAATATGGGAAGGCCTGGCGTTGGTTAATGTGACCTTTTTGGGGAGTGCAGGGGGGTGAAGGAAAGATCTGATTTCCAAGACCTTCAACCTCTTGAACACGATAATGTTAGATCGATACATCTGCTGCTGCCATCATAACTTTGCTGAATGTGGTAAGTTGAGTTGCTACTTGCAGAGTCATGCACTTTGTCAGGCAAACCTGGATCGATTGGTGGCGCAGTTGAAGCCCTTAGCGCGGTCCTGCAGCTTGCGGGAACTAGCAATTCTGGCCACTGCCATCTATGAGCTTCGCGAGAAGAAACAGGTGGACTGCTTCAAGGAGCTCTTGGTGATTCAAGTGGCACCTGGTCTCAAAGTCAATGTCTTCCTTCTCAATCAATTCATGACTTCAAGCTTTAAGTTCATTCAGTCAGTTTTCCAGTCCATAGTCAGCGGATAACAAACATTCAATGATATGCAATGAATCTTTCGCATTTGGATGCACATAAACCGTGGTAACGGTAGCGCAGTGTGACAAGTGGACCACTGGAAACCCGGCCAAGGATCAGAATTTTGACCGCCAAACGTATCCCAAAACCTGTTGCCGGACAACTACATGCCTGATTCCTGGTGGCAAATATATTGCCACTGGCCCAGCTGGATTCCGTGAAGTCTCGGCAAAGGAGAGAGTTTTGATTACATGTCGATTTCAAAGGATAATGATTATTCAATTTCTACCTGTTGAGGTTTCATTGTGAAAGGCAGGTGCAAACAGTCACGAACGGCTGCAGGTTGGATTTTGCTTGACTGTCAGATCCTTTTGTTTCCTTTCAGGAGTTGGCATCCCTCCAGGGAATTTCAAGCGATGAGTGGAGCAAGTATGAAATGGGAGTGGTACCGGACAAGCTTATGCGGTGCATGATTGGCAATGCGTTCAAGCCTGAGATTCAATCTCGGGTGTTTTGCCTCATGTGCCGATGTGCCAGTAGACATTGTGTGTTGTGCAATGTTTGGGCCTGCCAGTTGCAAGGCACAGTTCAAGCAAACCACACTTGAACATGTTTCTTTTCTTTCACAATTTGGAGTGAATCGCTTCAAGGTTCAATGTGCCTGTCCACTTGGCTGCTCTCGTCACAGCGCTGGCAAACTGGGAGCCCTTTGATCCCTTTACCTTTGCCCCTCCGTGATTTTTGTGATGCCTGGCACTGCTGCGTGACCAGCGAATGCCAATAATTTGAGGATAGCAAATTAAATCTAATCAAAGATCTCGTTCAAGCCTACAGGTGGTTTGATACTTTAGAGCAGCGCTATGCAAAGAGAGTAAACTGTGTCGAGGTCAGCCTCGAACCATGTCATGTTGTGTTAGTTTGCAGCCTGTGGTCGTGCATAGATAAGTTACTATACTTTATTGCTGAGATACTATATGCTGGTCAGAATATAAGTCTGAGTCATATGCGGCTTTTTTCCAGAAGTCACATAAGTTTGATTGATGTGACACAGCGGTTTGTTTGCACAAAGTAAAGAAGTTTTGGCCGCAAAACTGCTTCTAGGCTCAGTGACCACCTGGCTTGTCCCACCAGTCAGGTGAGTGGTTCCGACCTAGTTGATTCCATCATGCCTCCAAAAAAAAGGCAGCGCACCAGCCAGGTTGCCGCCAGCAAGGTCGCTAGTCAGAACCCTGACAATGTCGCACATGTAGCAGAGGGCCGCTTGCTACTCAAGGAATGGGTCATGGAAGCATATGCGGGCCGCCATACGGCGGCGGAGACTGACAAGAAGAAGTTTCCGCTTGGAGGTTCGTTTCTTGACATTGTTCAAAGGTGCTGGGCAGATGAAACCTCCATCATCGAAGATTCAGTATCCGTAATGAAGAAAATGGGCATTGTCAAGAGTGAGATCTCGGACGATGAGTTCATGGACAAGTACTTGACGACTAAGGACAGGGTACTTTTTAGTCTTACTTACTTTTTTAGTTCTTAGATAGTATTCCAGTCCCGTGGGCATGATTTCAGGCAGGTTATGATTCTTTATGTGTCCCAAGCCAGTGTGTTTCTATTGAGAATGGTGTTGAACAGGTTGCAATCTGTCCTTGACTTGAAAGGACTTTCCGCCAGCTCCTGGCACGTTCTTGCGCACCAGCATTCTTCAGTGGTCCTTTGCGAACAGATCCTTCTGGCGTGCTCCAGACATGGCTACAGTCTTGGACATAGCCAAAAGCATTGCTTTGATTGGCTGGCGTGAGGCGTGGGTTCCACAGACTGGGTTTGGATGAGGCATTGTTTCCAGCATAGTTTGCAGTTCTTTTTCCCAAGGATCCATGATCCAAGGACCAGTCACCTTGAAAACTAGAAGGGGAGTCCATCTGTCCTTCCCAGAATTAGATCTACATGTTCAAGGTGCCCCAGAACCCATTCATTCAAGGAGCAAGACTGGGAAGAGCACGTGTAGGAAAAAGCTCTCCGCTTTGGGGTCTATGTTGGACACCCTAGAGTGGAGAGCTCTTCCGGGAAGAGCTAGCCGCCCCCCAGGCTCAGACAAAGGGGATTGAAAGTAAGGGCTATGGACCAGCTTTGCCTGGATTCACTCCAGGGAATCTTAGCATATCTGGAGTAGATAAATTCCTTTACTATTGAGGGGGGGGTGGAGAGCTCTTCCGGGAAGAGCTCGCCACCCAAGCACCAGGATTGGAGAGATCAAAGGTGAGAGGAAAAGTCAATCCGGGGAGTGGATTGCGGGTGGGTGGGTGGAGGGGGGGGTGGAGAGCTCTTCCGGGAAGAGCTCGCCGCCCCCAAGCCATGAAGTGAAATTGCTCGCCGCCCCCAGACGGGGGGTGGAGAGCTCTTCCGGGAAGAGCTCGCCGCCCCCAAGCCAGGAAGTGAAATTGCTCGCCGCCCCCACACAGGGGGGTGGAGAGCTCCCGGGAAGAGCTCGCCGCCCCCCAAGCCATGAGGTGAAATTGCTCGCCGCCCCCAACCATTGTAATGGGAACTCCTCGCCACCCCCAGACGTCTAACTGAAATTCCTCGCTGCCCCAAGACACTCTGAGGGGAATTGCTGACCGCCTCCAAATACCTATTATGAGGCGGGGCGCCAGGATAAACAGATTGAGACCTCGTTGTTGATCAGGGGTGACGGTGGTTTTTGTTTGGCAGGTAATTATTGATGTTTGTTTGCTGCCTTCTTGTCTGCAGGGTGAGATCTTGGGCGTGCGGTTGGATGAGGAAGCTATGAATGATGATTCGGAATGGCACCAAGCTCAGTTCCTCTTCGACGATGGTGGTATGAGAGGATTAGCAGCGGCCTTGGTGTGGTGTGGCATTGTGTACTTCCTTCCAGAGCAACCTGAAGGCTGTTCTGAATCCATCGCTGCTCTGGCCAAATCACTTCTTGAAGTACCCGCTTTCTTCAAACACCAGCCAGGGGACCCGGGCCGTGCGATGATTGGTCGAATCATTCGCCAGAATGTCGAATCAAAAAAGCTTCCAGTGTCGAGCTACGAATGGAGTCAGATCCTGTCCTCTCTGAAAAGCAATTCCTCTGTTGAGATGACTGTCCAAGATGCCATCGAATGCTACAATGAACACCCTGAGACAGTCGCTCACGGGGGATCGAATGCCAAGGAGTGCATCTTTCCAGATGTGAAGAATTCAAGTTGTGAGTCTCTGAGAGTTTTCCAGTTTTCCAATTTTCACAGGCTAACGTAAAATTATTCCATCTGGCAGACTTAGACTTGGCAGGACCGGAGCGGTAGTGGAGCGCTGATCATTGACTCCAAGAAACAATATGGAATCACTCATTGGTTTCAAATGACCTGCAAAGCAGCACATGAAGAGGTCCAGCGGGCATTGAAAGATGCGCCTTTTCAGTACGGCCCCTATGGAGAGGCCTTGAGCATCATGCACTTCCTCTTTTTGACCTCCACTGCAGATCTTCCGGGTGTACCCGACTCACCCATGGCACCCGTCAGTGGGGAAGCAAGCATTTCTCTCGACTGGCAACTGCCAATGCCGGAAGAAGCCCAAGGGATGCTTTTTCGCAGAATCAGGTTGGCCTTCGAGAAAAGCACTGCCATAGTGCAGAATGCAGTGGACAGAAAGAAGTACCGCATGAGCGAGGAGGACTTGCTGGCGCTTCGCAATGTGCTTTGCCTCTGGTGCCAGGTCAGGGAATTTTGCAGCACCAGGCTTGACAAGTTTGTAGAGCTGGACCGGGCCATCCAATCAGGGCCGACTCGTGATCATGAAGTCCGGGCCATCTTAGATGCACGACCAAGCTCTTTTGCTGTCAGCATGCTGCCATCCCAGAAGGACGAAGCATGTGAGAAAGCTCGGCTTCAAGAAGAAGGAGCTCTTATGGAGGTGGAAGCGGAGAGAGTCAAAGTCCGCCAGCATCGATGGGCTTTCTTTCAACAAGCTCTTGAGAGAGACCAGGCCAAGCTTCGCCAAATGGCTGATGCCCCACAGAAGATTGCTGCCATGAAACACAGAAAACAAATGGCTTGGCGCTTGAGTCAGGCCAAGCAGGGTGAGAAAGCTGTTCGGAGCTACATGGACAAATTTTTGCGGTGCCAGACGGTTGCCAAGGTTGAACACGCGCAGCAGAAGATCAATGAGTTTCGCAGCTTCGTTGCTACTTGCCTTCTGCATTAAAAATGAAATTGATCATTGGTGGGTCCGCCAGGCAAAGTAATGAATGATTGGTGAACTGGGGGTGATTTGGGTTCAAGATGATATAAATTTAAGTTTAATAGTGGTCCTTTCTTTATCCATTTCCTGCCCTGTCCTGTCTCCCAGGCTCAATCCTATGGGATTCCAGAGGCAGATGTTTGCATGATCTCGATCGTGGACCTGAATGTTCCCCAGGCAAAAGCGTCGGAGAATTTGCAGCAGCTTTGCTCCGCAATGCAGTTCTGCAATGATCTTTCGCCCAGCTGCCATATCGGAATGGTTGAGCTGCCAGAGATTCCAAAAAAATCTTCAAGAAGAGGACTATGTGACGAGGAACGTGAATTGGAGGAGGCACTTTGGTCCTTGAGGCAGAGCTGCGACTCACGCTGGGTGATTCCGTTTAACCTCCATGCTGCCGCTGACGCCCAGTCGAATCGAAGGCCAGCACGACGTTTAAAGTATTTGATGGGTTCAACTTTTTGTTTGAGTTGGATCAAGCTTTGATCAACGTTTCAGGCGGAACGCTGCAGTGGATGCATAGTAGACAATTTCCCCACTAGTGTTTGTTTTTTCTCACTGTCAGGCGGTTCAGCAGCGGACGTCTCGTGGCAAACTTTGAGGCAGAGGACAATTTGTGGCTCACACGAAGTGAGCTAGCTTTGTGTGGACGTCCACTGTCTGATCTCGAAGTCCAGCTGCCTTTGAGCAAGGATCTTTTGCTTCCGGAATCCCTCTCTCCGGAGGATGACCTGAAGCAGGCAGAGCGCCAAAGACCTTCTGCAGAAGCTTGCTGTGCTCAGAAAGGACAACTTCGTTGGGTTGCCCTGATCCAGAGCATGCTGACTTTCAGCGATGCCAGCCTGAGAGGAAAGCCTGTGATCATCCTGAACCTAACGGGGTACGTGGAGGACCTTGGATGTGCAGCTGCTTGGTGTTATGTATCTGGGAGGGAAGGGTTTCAAACTCCCAAGCTGGAGTGGGCGTGGGATCTGGTGTGGGGAAGGACTTAGAGTTTTTGGAGCAGGTTTTAAGTAGTAGCATGGTCCACGTGGCTTCGTCGTATCACATCCCGCAGCACTGGTAGTCAAGCGGGCTGCTGCAAGTCGCCGTTTCTTTCGACTGGTGACTATCAATGGTTCACATTGTCGGTCCAGGGCCTGATTCCTTTTTCAAGCATGCCAAGAGCATACTTCCCTGGCATGATGAACCAGATAGCCCACAAGCTGTGGTAGAGAAGCCAGTTACAACGTTTTGTCCTGCAGTTGCTGCACCTCCAATTTTGGAGAAGAACCCACATGAGCAACTTCCTGCAGACTGGCAACGGAATCCTTTGCAGTCCGGAATCGCTATCAGCGTGACATCTCCATCTTTGAGTGCAGGGAACATTCTCAAGCATTGCAAGGCTGGGGATGGTTCAAACAGTTCAGATTCAGTCTGCCAGGTGTTCCTTTCTTTTGCGTATGAGAATCGGACCCGTTCTAAATTTAATTAAGACTTCGGGGACTGTCCAGGACCAGGTTCAAAGAATACGAGAACGGCATGGCGGCATCAACTTGGCAGTTTTCAAGATAGGCATCACGCATTGCTTGGAACTGCGAGTGCTCCACTACTACGATCTTAATTTTGATGAGATGTGCTGCATCCATGCAAGCCAATCCCTAGCCCAAATAGAGGCATTGGAGGCATCTCTCATAGATTCCTTCTCATCTGAAGCACCACAGTGTCGCAACATTCTTCCAGGGGGGGAGGGGATGCGAATGCGAGATGGGCAGCCAAGGCATTCTCCTCCTTATTTTGTTTATGTTGTTGCAGCCAATGCTTCCCAAATGAAGCGGATTGGCGGTTGAACAGGGCCTGGCTTGAGTCTAGTGGCATATGTTGCCTTAATTCGATGCAAAGTGCGTTGAATGATTACTCCTGAAACCGTAGCCTTAGCAATGGAAGGACTCTGAAACAATTTGGAACTGACAGATAGTTCGCCAGTCAGTGTTTGGGGTCAGTTGTCAGGAGCATACACACCCAGTTGTTTGGAGATTGAGTTGCTCTTATGTGGATTTTCTTTTGAAGTATCTGAGGTTTTTGACATGCGGCTGAACAACAAAGAGCTCAAGGGTGGCTTTGAGACAAAGAACTTGCACTACCTCAGCGTTTGGTGGTTAAACAACCAGTCCTTTGGAGCAGCCAGATTGATGAGGGAGATCACAGACGCATGGATTGCTCAAAAATGGGAGATCGGAGGCATTCGCTTCTCCAATGACCCGCCAGAGCTAAGCCAGATCGAGCTGGATGCAATTCCGGGAGCAAAGGGAGCGCTTGGCAGCCTTGACGGAGTGGCATGGGAAGTGCTCGAACGCAACGGCGACCAAATGGTCATTCGAAAGGATGAGGATCGCTACTGGTCCATGCAGGATGGTTCGATTGGTGACACCTTTAAGGGACTCAAGGAGAAACACAACGAGCTCATTGGCAGGACCAATGTGACTGCAACAAGTTCAGCTGGAGCAGCGCCTGCGTCTGCAACAGCATCGACTGAGGCTGAAGGCAGTGGCGATGGAGGTCAACCAACGCCAGCTTCAGCCGTGATGGTTGAGTCCATTGCCAAGCTGGAGGAAATGCATGGCATCGAAACCAGATCTGCCAGCGAGGTTGCCAACACAGAGTTGCTGATGTGCAAAGATGGCAGCCTGTGGCTGGTTGCAACCCAGGGTGACAAACTTGTCGCCAAACATACTGTGCTTGGAGGGTTCGGCACTGGCCAATGGGTTCCAGAAGCAGATGCTCCCGACACATCAGTCAGCTTTGCTATGCCGTTGGGAGACCAGTCAGTGGTCCAGCTCGACGAGGGATCCTTTTCCGCACAAGGACAAGGAGTCTCGTCGCTTACCCTATATGCACTTCTGCTAAGAGCTGAAAAGGAGAAAGGAATCAATGAACACAAGTTGTCCTTCCTGACAGTGGAACGAAAGGGGGACCAGTCTGTGGAGGCAGGGAACGACGCCTTCGACGTGAAAGTGAAAACGGCAATGTCCTTCAAATTCGTGAAGGACCCACGTCCAGGCCAAGAAGATAAAGTCAATCAGAAGAACTTTTTCTCCAAGGCTGCGGGCTGCACTCGGAACTCTGACCTCATCGCAGTGGTGAACCGCTTTCGATTTGAGCGTGTGGGACAGTCTTTTAAGGTGCAGCGCCCATACTGCCTAGTGCTGAAGGCAATCCAATTGAAGAAGGGGCAACCCTACAAACTTACCAAGTGATTTCATTTTGTACCAAGACTTGTACCATCTTGTTACAGCTACCATACCTATTTCTTTAGTTATTATGATGATGTCATTGTGTGTTGCTTGGAAGCTTTTTTGAACGGGTTGCAGGATGAGGGACAGCTGGGCGACTTTGGTTTTGATTATAATACCAGTTTCTAATTTGGTCCAATGAAACCACTTGAAGTTTCAAACATCAGCCAGCTGACCTTTTCCTCAGTGGCCGTGTGGAAGCAGAAGGCGCCTGCAGGGGCCTCTCACAGAAGCTCTGGAGTGCAACTCATGATTTCAGAATACAATGATATGCACAGCCAAGTGTTTCCTGGAGCTTTGGGGGTGAGAGGTAAGACGTCAGGCTGCCATTTGGTAGGATCCACACACTGGCCGTTTTTGGGCAGTGGCAGGTATCAAAGACCTGAGCTTTGGGCGTCGATGGTGACAAGTGGTTTGTGTATGTCGCATGTTTTGTGGTACAGACGGCGGACACGTTCTCTTTCTATTGAGGTCGACTTTCCATTTTGAAATTGAAGACCTGGCAGATTCAGTCAGTCAGAGTGACAATGATGTCTTTTATTAGGTTTTTGAGATTGGCTCAAGAAACCGTCTTCCATCAATCATTCCTCAGTGTTGATCGCCTCATCCTCATGCCGCTAGCTTATATGATGATGTCAGGGCTGTTTGGCAGGGACTTTTTCACCTACATGGCTTGATTGGGCTGAGTCAAAAAGCCGACCATGGACACGAGTGCTTGCGAGAGACTCTCATGGAGTTTGTGCGCTTCTTTGGGCCTGAAGAGACACCCTCGAAGCGACAAGTCTTGCTAGATTGCATTCAATTGCTCACTGTGTTTGGCAACATGACTTTCAAGGGCCAAATGGATAGCCCTGAGCAAATCTCAAAGCTTTGTTGCTGGCTCGAGGCTGACAGCATTGTTGGACGGTCCCGGTTGGTGACAGCCCCACCGCTGGAGATGATGGAATGGAAAGAAGAAAAAGTCGATCATCTCTGGCAGAATCTGCAACATGCACAGCTTCAACTTAGTGTCCTACACGATGAGGTGCCACCCAGCTTCAGCTCTATCCACGCAGTGCTGAACGGGACTGCGGACTGCGTGGATGAAATGATTGAAATGATGCGAGTGCTTAGGATGGTGCGGGCAAATGAGAGGTCGGTGCCAAATTGACCTGCAACCTGGGTTCACATGCAACTCAGGTGCCTGCGGCTTCAATTTTGACTTTTTGATATGAAGGTGAAACTGTCCAAAGGAGCGGGACAAATAGAAAGTGAATTGCGGGTTCGATTTGGATTGGATTTGTTGAACAATATTCCGTCAGTCAATTTCAGTCAGCGTCAATCAGTGAGTCAGATGCTGTTGTCCATTGATTGAACTCAGAAATAAGAGAACATGTTAATTTGTGGAATCAGAAAGTCTAGGTCTCAGTGCTGCAGCATGATGGCCTTGATTGGACACTTACTTGCTGCGCGTCCTTTCAGGTCAGACTAGTCAATGTTTGATGATTTTTGCTCATGAGTAGTCCAGCCATGATCAATATACAGGCGAGGATTCTGAGCTCTATGATGTCTGGTGCACCCACGACACCAGCTGATGGAGAAAGACGTCAACAAAGTCCTGGAGCAAAACCTGAACCTGGTTCTGGACCGCCGAAGCGCTCGCCCAGCTACCCGCAGGAGGTGATGCAGGCGACACCAGAGAAGTTAGAGCACAGTGGGCAGGGTCATGGGAAATCTCGAGGGCGAGCGGCTGCCAAAGCTCGTGGGAATGGACGAGGTCGGGGAAGGGGTGGCAAAGGACGTAGTGCTCAGGAGCCTTGTGCAGAGAAAGGCGAGGCAGAGAAAGGCGAGGGATGAGAACGGCCAATGAATCTATTTCTAACATTATTGGACATTGAGTTTAAGATGATTCCAATTCTGATCTGCAGATACTAAATGTTGTTCTGTGTTTTCGTTGAGGGTGGGTGTGTTTGACATTTGTTGCCAAGGGTGGGTTCAGTACGCCCATCAGGCAGCCCTGCTTCTGGATTGAAGAAGCGTGATGGCAAGGCAGTGGAAACCAAACTACCCATTGAGAATGCGGCGCCAAAGGCCAAAGTCCTGAAGAGACCGTCAGCTCTCCGCGTAGATGTCCATGCTGAGAAGGCAGATGCTTCAGAGAAATCTCCAGAAAAGAAAGCCAAGAGTGCGGATAGCCAACCTATGAATCTGAAGAAACCTGCCACAAAGGGCAAAGCTCTTTTGGTTAACTCGTTTTCCAAAGAGGGCTGGCAGTTTTGTAAGTTTAAGAGGAGCACGAGCGGAACACCTTTTAACAAATTCACCTCTCCTGATGGTCAAATTTATTGGACCAACAAAGCTGCTGAAGAGGCTGGCTTTAAGATGGAGTGGTTGAAGGAATCTGACAGCTAACAATCGACCATGAACACGCTGAAAAAGGTCCGCACCGGCAGCATTCTACATGGACCTTTAAGAGTCAACAACATGAAAAAACTCAAGGAATGAAAAAACTAACTTTTATGAAAGTTCCTTAGATATGTATTTATATATTGATTGTCCGAAACCAGTGGCACAGTGGCCGACGCCTCGTTTCGGAACCTGGATTCGTCTCGTTTCGGAACCTGGATTCGTCTCGTTTCGGAACCTGGATTCGTCTTGTTTCGGAACGCGGGTGAAATGGTCTCCCGAGGCTAGGAAGTGGTTTCTGGGAAGTGGTTTCTGGGAAGTGGTTTCTGGGAAGTGGTTTCTGGCAAGTGGTTTCTGGGAAGTGGTTTCTGGGCAGTGGTTTCTGGGAAGTGGTTTCTGGCAAGTGGTTTCTGGGAAGTGGTTTCTGGG